GGTGCCCGTTCCCGGTGCTGTCCCGGCACGGCCTGTACTGGTGGCAACACTGTCTCCAGGCGAGGAGGGAGGCCGTAGGCCATGGCCGTGTAGGGTGGATGCGGCCCTGCAGGGAACCCTTGTAGTAGGCTGCCGTGGAGTGGGGTTAGTCTGCTTATTCGGCTCTCTGTAGCGTGTGATCTGCTTCTTCCCCACAGAAAGGGCTTGTCCCAGTCAGCCTTGCCCTACAGACGCAGCGTGCCTACGGTAAGTAAATTCTCCGCCCCGTGCGCATTTCGACAGGCCCGGGTGGCTGCCTTGGGGCCTTCAGTGTGATGTCCGGCTCCCGCAGCTTAGCTGTGCCTGGGGAAAGAAATCCAAGATAACTGTGGTATTTTGTGTTATCGTTGTTAAATTATGGCCTGATAAAATGCTACTTTAGCCAGTGGCCTTTAAGGGTGCTGAGAAAGCAAGTATTGTTTCCTGGCCAGATGATCTGTTGGGTAAAAAAAGTCTCTTTTCCTATTTGTACTTAACCTTTATTTAAGTGGTACTTCAATTATTTTAAGTCTGTGTGCTAATAATTCCTAGAGATTAAATTATTCTCTTCATGCTTGAGTTTGGCCTTTGCCATTGTAGAACAAATTGACTGTTTTCTGAACTATTTACAACAGTAATGTGCTGGTCAGAGCACTAGCTTAAGTAAGGTCAGCATGCCCTTAGTTCATTAAGGGTACTTCCACTTTAAAAGTTTACCTTTTTCTGTCAAAAGCCCAATTAAAGAGTTCTTCCCAATGGCAGTGATTTTTTTGCATATCATTAGAAGTACAATTTCAGTTCTTGATTGTGTTTTCAAGCATTGCAAAGCATCTATTTATGCCATTTATAAAAAGCTTTCATATCGCTAGCCTGTGCCTCTGTATTAAGCAGTGTTCATGAGTTGTTTGTTGTTTTGATTATTTTTTTTTTCTTTCTAATTTTCTTTAGTGGCTGAAACTTACTTCTGATGATGTAAAGGAACAGATCTACAAGCTGGCTAAAAAAGGCCTGACTCCCTCACAAATTGGTATGATTTATTAATAACTCCTAAATGGAGGCAAAACGTATTTTTCTGATTGTAATATGTAATTCTTCCTTCAACCTATGCTAAATAACATGCTAAGAAAATACAGGTTTTCTGATGTACCTATGTATTCACTGTGTGGATGCCACAAAAAATATATAATATATCTCATTCTTGCAAGAAACATATTTTGTGAAGTAGTTGAGTGTTTGGTTTTTGTCAAGCAGAAAATGTTAGGTATCTGTGTAATGATGTGCTATGTGAATGATTTTTTTTTTTATTGTTGTAATCCTGAGAGTATTAGTGATCCCTATGGTACAGTATATGCTTTTAGAGTAAAGATGTGTATGACATCTTGTTAACCATAGAAGAAAGGGTGAGTTTGTTGAAAATTTCTCAATAATATTATAGCACTTAACGTGTTACCTGCCTAAATGTCAATGTTAGTTGTCTAAGTGCTATCAGATAAAGTGTTCTAGCTTCTGAGAGTTGTGTTTTTCTCACTCATTGTCTACCATTTGTTCATGGTTTCCACCAGAAAGGTTTTTAGTTTAGAGAAGACCTTTTTTGGATATCTTGTAACTATAAGGTTAGTTTCACAAGATTTGTTTGTGTAAGGTTTTTCTCTTCTCTGTGAGATGTAAATGTTTGTTTCAGGTGTGATCCTGAGGGATTCCCATGGTGTTGCCCAGGTTCGCTTTGTTACTGGCAACAAAATTTTGAGAATCCTTAAATCGAAGGGACTGGCCCCAGACCTTCCAGAGGATCTCTATCACTTGATTAAGAAAGCTGTTGCTGTTCGCAAACATCTTGAGAGAAACAGAAAGGTGAGTGTTAATTTAAGTAGATAACTCTCCATGTTCTTCTTTTCAAATTATACAGTAGTTTATTTAAAACTTGACAAAGCCAAGGCTCTTTGTGTACTCCCTGTTAGCCAACCTCTTTGCGTAAACATAGGGGCTTGGGGAGGCATTTTGATAAAGGAGAATGGTCTTTGTGAAAAGGATCTTAAAAACATTGCTTTAAACCACTTATTTCTGGTCCTGTTTGGATTTTACCAGATTCATCAGACTTAGGTAATGGGAATGTGGCGTTTGTAGCAGTAGCTGTGGGTTTTTGTTACTTTATTAAAGCTCATCTGAGTTGTACATCATTGAGAAGTCAAAGTAGTGCTTGGCTGTAATGAAACTTTCTTTTCAAGGATAAAGATGCCAAGTTCCGCCTGATTCTGATTGAAAGCAGAATCCATAGGTTGGCTCGCTACTACAAAACTAAGAGAGTGCTGCCGCCCAATTGGAAGTAGTAAGTCTTCTCTTATGTTCCTATTTTCACCAAGATCCTGTAGATTTTGTAAACTATGTGCTGGGGCTGTTATTCAAAGGGCGAAGAGTGCATTATGATCAGGCATATAGGTAAACCAGGCAGCAAAGAATAAATATTAACTGATAAATTAATGGAACTTCTTGCTGGGTAAAATAACTGTGATAACACTTGGAAAAAATAATTGTCTCAATAAGTGAAGTCACTACTAGATAATTTTATAATACTTTATGCAAACTGCAGTCTCTGTTCTCACTCAGATACTTGTATAGTTCGTGTTACTTGAGAAATTTATTGAGAAATGGCTTAGCTGCAGCAAAAATGAAAGTTATTTGTAGTTTTCTCTAGGAAAATTTAGCCAACGTAGGACAGTTCCCATAGATGTCAGGGTGAGCTCTTTTTCTGAAAATACTCAAATGCAGCTAGTTTCTGAATATATGTTTTTGCGCTGTTAGGCTAGGGTGAAATCCTTCCTTTTTTTATGCCATAAAAAAATTTTTAATAGGTAGTGATTAAGCTCACAACTGGTAGTTAAAGTTTTGAACTGAAGCAGTATTTTTGGCAACTAGTTTGAAAAACTGCCTTTGCAATTAATATTTTTTTCTCTCTCTCCTCTTTTTAGTGAATCATCAACAGCTTCTGCACTGGTAGCATAAGAGCTGGATACGACTTACTGAAAGAATAAATTTTCATTGACTAAGTTTGTGTTGTCTCTAAACAGTTGGTGTCTTATAAACTTTTGCCCCTTTCAGGAAGCTGCATGTAAATGGGCAGTTTTCAAGGCGAAGCAGATGTGGCCATAGTTTCTATGTTGCTGTCCTACAGCGTCAAATCTGGGTGGTGGTTGCTGTTCTAGACCAGCTGTACCATTGGTGTCTGTGCTTAAACTGGATTTTTGATCTGATAGCGTCAAGTTAGTAAAGCAAATGTGTGTTATTTATGGAGGGCTGTGCCTCTGTGTGTCCTGCAGGAAGAACTAGGGAAGAAAACAGTGACAAGAAAACAAGAATTGGAAATGTAGAAAATGCAGAAAGGATTAGGCAGGGGGTGGGGTGGGGTGTGGACACACGACAAAATTGGAGGGGTTGATGGAATCATTGCAGGTAATGTGCATCTCCTCCTTGTCCAGAAAGCTTAAGCAGACCTCAACCAGTTCCTGAAAGTAACTGGTGCTGTTATTTGTAAGTAATTTTAAGAATAGTCTTTGAGGTTTGGGTAAATGCTGATAACAATTTAGCTTTTCTCAGGTCTTGCATCTTTACTGAGGTAGTTTTCCCTAAACCCAAAGGGCAGCAGCTGTTGTACAGTCACTATTGCTGAGGTTGTGCCTCCAGGTTCTGAATAGCTTTGACCTTAAGAGTCTCCTTTCTGCTGGATAAATGTGCAGACCAGATTGATAGCTTTTTCCTTTTTTAGGGGAAAATGATAAATGAACTTATTCTGAGCTGTTGTGACTTGTTTGTAAGCCTTGGTGTGTTACTTAACTTTTGCCATATTAAAAAGTGAATTTAAATAAGCCCCAATGTTTTTGTAAAGTGTAGTAACTACTTTCATAACCAGTGGAACCTGGTAACTTCTGGGTTTAATTTTTCAGAAAGACAGGATTCCTCTGCCCTGATTATGAATCTAAACATAGGTTTGTGATTAAGACAGTTTTAAAAGAAAAGCACTGCACTCCAGTTGAACTCTAAAGTGCTACTGTCTGGTCCATCTTAAATTACTAGCCTCATATGCTGTCAAAATACTTGATTTTGTTTCTGAAACCTAGTGATTACTTGCCAGGCTCTCACAACGATAAATAAGTATTCTGGCATGTAGATGCAATACAGCACTTTAAAAACAGTAGTTCTGAAATAGCTATATGTAAGTACCAGCAGATGGCACTTTGAAACATTAGTGTTTTTAAAAAGTTATATATTGCAAATAGTGCCACCTAGAGATGAAGGTCCAAGCCAGTGAACAGTTGATGTATGTAGAATTGCAGTACTGCTATATCTGTGGTGCCAACTGATAGAATGGGCTTGAGCACAGTCTGGTTGAAGCATATGTAGTTCTTCAGTTTCACGCTACTGGGGTGTTTTGGTCTGAGCCCAGTCTATACTCTTGTGTTTTGCTGCTCTGGTTTGCTGAAGGGCTGAAAGCGGGCTTGGCTCCGCTCCGCTCCGCTTGCGGCATCTCGCCCGTCAGTGGTGCTGAAAGCAGCTGAGCTTGCCAGAGGAGGGAAGGGCAGGAGCTGTTGCAGCGATGGGGTCTGGCTGACAGGAATGTGGGAGAGGGGAGTGCCATAAATAATTGCCTTGTGGTGTACTGCCAGGAATGAGATTACCCAGGGACAGAGTCTGGGCTTGCAGTAAGGTCAGATCCGGGTGTTGAAGGTACTCCTGAGGACGGAGAGAGCAGGACACCATATTTACTGCCTGTAGAACCTGGCAATGGTATTGTGATTGTACTGTTAGGCGCATATATTTCTACTACTTAACATTGCTAAAATTCTGTGTTTCCTGTAAATCACATGGGATAGCTTAAGTAAGCTGTCCTCATTTAGATTGTCAATCGGTTACCCCTTTGATTACCAGAACTCATTTACTACGCAGGGTGTCTGCTCAGCACTGGTATGCCCCAGGGCAGTGGGTGCCTGGCCAGGTGGGGGAGCAGTGCAGCCAAGGTGCTGGCAGGGGTAAATCCTCCCGGGGGAGTGGACCCCTGTGAAGCACGACACCGAGCAACATGTTTGGAGGATGCGGTCCTACAGTGTGTGTCTGAAGAGAGGAGTGGGGGAGCAGGAGGAACGTGGTCCTGTGGAAGCATGGGGTAAGTTTACCGTCTGGGGCTGTGGTACAGGACTGTGCCTGGGTGAGAGCGGAACTCCCCCAGGTCATCTCCTTGGCATCCTGCCGCCTTAGCCGAGCACCAGGATGGCTCCGGGCAGCTTGGGACTTGTCCAGCTGCCCACAAGAGTTAGTGCAGTTCTTCCTGCTGCTCCACGTAAAGGTACTATAACTTCCCTTGGCTGGAGTGATGCGATAATGGGAATAAATCCAGATCTGCAAATAGTTGCCCAAAATGAATTCTTCATATGAACCAGCCCAAATTGTCTCTGCCCCATGGTCATCTGCAGGCACCACCCTGGCTTCCCTCTGCCCAGCAGCATGGGGTGTTCTGCAGGCTTTGGGCCCCACTGCCCTCTTGCTTTTTCCCATCACATTGTCTCATCTTTTCATGGTTTCTTTTGCCTTGGCTTAAGCTTCAGAGGCTATGTTTCTGTTTCTGCCTTATTCCCAGCAGCCTTTTCTGAATTTCCAGCTTTGCCTTTTCCTTCTGCAGTATTTTTTGCTCTCCCAGCAAGTATAAATCTGAGTGATGACTTTTTTTTTTTTTCCCCCTGTACCAGTGTGAGCTTTTTCCTGCACTGTGCCAGGGCACACATCAGAAGGGAGCTCACAGCCTCACCTGCTTCCAGCTCTCTTGGCTCTGTCACAGTGATGCCTGCCCTTTCCTCTTCAGAGAGGTGCAGCCACAAGACCTCTGCCTCCACAGCGAGCCGTGGTACGTGGGAGTCCCCTCTGCAGCCACGTGGCCACGCTGTGCTTTGCTGCTCTGTACCGGGCTTTTTCGCGTGCGAGTTTGGTTCACAAAAGCCTCCCACTGGACTTCAGTCCTTGCCAGCTCTGCAGCTATTCCAGGCCTGTGGGGTGTATGGCAGAGGCTGATTCCCTTTGGCTCGTAAACAGCTGGTTTTGAAGGCTGGCTGCTGAGGCACCCTTTGCTCTTGCAGAGCCTTTTTTATTCCTGAGGAAGGTTTGTTGTAGGGTTTTAGGAAGAATGATGACGATTCTTGCAGTCACTTCTGGGTTGCTGAGGGTCGTACGAAGAGAACTGGGTTCCTTCAGGTCTGAAGCATTGAGTTCTCACTGGATATGACCCAGGGAGATGGGACAAGGGCATTCTTTGGGTTGTAAGTTGTTTTTTCCACACAGATTCCCAGTCCTTTCTAATCCATGTTTTTTCTCAGGAGCATGAAAGTCTTCAATCTCTTGCCTTTCTTTGGAATTGGCCTGCAACTTCTCCCCATGCTCCGCTCTCCTCCCCAAGTTTCTGTGCTCTAAGTGTTTGCCCTGACGCTTCTGGCTGTGTGTCTGAGTTCCTGATAAGGAAATTTCCTCCCCCCCCCCTTTTTTTTTTTTCCAAATCAGTCAAGCCAGTTTTCTTCCATTCTTTTAGGTGACATGAATTTAGCTTACCCTGATTTGAGTCAGCTAGGGCAGCATTCAAATGCAAGAACATGACTTTGTGTTTTCTGCAGTTCATCCTGGAATGGTAAATCCAGAAAGGTGGGTCTTTATTCCTATGGTTCAATCAATAGGTGATTGACACTACGTGCAGCTTCTGCCTTCATTTTTAGGAAAGAGTTTGAGGTGACTGTGAAGTATGGGAAAGATTAACCCTGACTAGGATTTAAGGGAAAGCTTTGATTCAGTCATGTCCGGAGGATGCTTTGAGTGTTGGATATGTGTTCGTTCTGAAGGATTTTGTGGTGCGTGACTGGTTCCCTCGTGCAGGCAAATAAACCATCTTTTTACCTCTGTGAATTTTTCTAACTGAAAGCTCCTGTTTACAAGTACTTCTGTGAAAACTAAGAAACTTCTAGTAATTTATTTCAAGTAAGGGAAATTAAACACCAGTTATTCTGCTTATAAGTCATTACCACTGCTGGAAACCATTAATTTCCCTAGCTGAAAAGGGCAGAAAAAAGTCTACCAAGCTAAAGTAATAGCAATCAGAAAAGGCAAGAAATTATTTGGGTTTATAAATGTATGACTGCAAGTATACGTTCTTTTGCTTTTTCTGGAAAACAGCTTCTAAAGTGTGTTTTCAGTTTCATTTTCTGCCAGTAAGCTTTTTGCAGTATTCAACTCAAAATCATTGCAAGCAAGTTAATCCCAAGTAGCAAAATGCGAATGGAACGTGTACTCTGATTTTTCTAAGCGAAGGTTTGTGTGTCACTTTCTTCCCGTGTTTTCAGCGTCACTTAACAGATCACGAAAAACAATGTAGTTAAAAAGCACTGCACGTGTTTTTTGGGACTCGAGGGCAGGTTTCTTTCCCCGTTGCCATTTAAATAAAGAGCAGAAGGGCCTACTGCATTCCCCAAAGGCAGGTTTGGTACTCCCGTAGCGCTGGGATAGCTGGTGTTGCTGGCTTAGGCCAATGCTGCTTCACATTCCCGCAGTTGTTTTGTTTCCTTTTCAATGCTGGGATCAAACTAGTGAAAAAAAATTGTGAGCTGTTGCTGGGAAGTCCCTTCAATAACTTTGCATCATTTGCATGACAATACGTCGCGGAGCCCTGGTAACCTCCCTCGCCAGCACATACCTTGGCAACAGGAAATGGTTCAGCAATGTTCGCTGCACAAATGGGACGCCTGCGAGGGTCCTTTTCTTGCTTCCCAAGGATTTCTGGGCATACTTGCCGCTGGATAAATAAAGGCTTCTCTCTTTCTTCCATCACCTGCTTTTGAGATAAATTTTACTTCTGGTTAAAAGTCTGTAACCCTTGTACTGAACAGTGTTGCTGACTAGTGTGAGCTTCTTTTCTGTTGCCACAGGATTTATTAAAAACGTTAACCAGCACAGATGCAGTAACTGGAGCTGAATCAATACAAAAGGTTACTGTTAATGGCATAGCAATATGTATTGGATA